GACAAAGCTGGTGAGGGGTCTGGAGAATAAGTCTTATGAGGAGAGGCTGAGGGAACTGGGGTTATTCAGCCTGGAGAAGAGGAGGCTGAGGGGAGACCTTATTGCTCTCTACAACTGCCTGAAAGGAGGGTGTAGAGAGGTGGGGGTCGGTCTCTTCTCTCAAGTCACAGGCGACAGGACAAGAGGAAATGGCCTCAAGTTGCGCCAGGGGAGGTTCAGGCTGGATATTAAGAAAAATTTTTTCACTGAAAGGGTTCTCAGCCATTGGAATGGGCTGCCCAGGGAGGTGGTTGAGGCACCATCCCTGGAGGTGTTCAAAAGACGGGTTGATGTAGTGCTGGGAGGTATGGTTTAGTGATGATGCTCCTTGTTTGTTGTGTGGGTGTCTATTTTTGTCAGTTAGGTTGACGGTTGGACAAGATGATCTTTAAGGTCCCTTCCAACCTAGAAGATTCTGTGATTCTGTGAAACTCCCCTGTTCCAGTATTTCCTGGTGAGCCCCACGTGCTTTCTACTGTAGCCCCCACCAGGGAAGGAAAATGTGGCGTGATAGGAAATCGGTGTATTTAGATGAAAAAGGTTGAAGGAAGTTCTGCACCTTCACCACCTTTTCCCATCCTGTTCCCCTTGTTGGCTGTAGAGTGCAGCTGCTACCAAAGCCGAGGCTGACAAGACTTTTGCTGATGTGACGGGGCTGGCCAGAGAAGTGGATGACATGATGAAGCAACTGCAGGATGCAGAAAAAGAGCTGAAGCGGAAGCAGGATGATGCTGAGCAGGATATGATGATGGCAGGCATGGTAAGTAATGCTGGCAAGAAGGTGCCTTCTCCCTGCTGTCCTGGCTGTGCAAGCTTTTTTTCCTCTGCTGTCCTCCTGCAAAGACAGCACTGAGTCCAGCCAGTGTTCAGTCTCTTCCAAGTTTTAAGTGGGATTGAAGACATGAGCCTAGCAAAGGAGCTCCTCTGGTGGCATTAGCATAGGTTCCCTGCTGGAATTTGAGAGCCAATTTTCTTAATGCAGCACTTCCCTTTTATTTTAACTGAAACCTGGCTGTAGCCCTACTGACTCTGTTCTGACTTTTCCTGCAAAATCCTGCTTGGTTATCAGGGATCCCCATCCTGAAATAATCACAAGAGTGACTATTTGAAGGTTGTCAGTCTTTGCCAGTGCTGTGATGAAGATCTCGGTGCAGGGGTGTTATGCTGGAGAGAGGTGCCAGGGATGTGTGTGACTGACTGTGCTTGGGCAGACGTGAAGAGGAGAGGCAACAGTTTTGCAATCCCTACAGCCTTGTTGTGGTTTTTTTTACCATGCAGGCCTCCCAGGCTGCCCAAGAAGCAGAAGACAATGCCAGAAAAGCAAAGAACTCTGTGACCAACCTGCTTGCCATGATTAACAACCTGCTGGATCAATTAGCGCAATCCCTACAGCCTTGTTGTGCTTTCATGTTTTTTATACCCTGCAGGCCTCACAGGCTGCCCAAGAAGCAGAAGACAATGCCAGAAAAGCAAAGAACTCTGTGACCAACTTGCTTGCCATGATTAACAACCTGCTGGATCAATTAGGTAAGGCTGTCCTTAATGTGCCTTACACCTTTGAGTGTTTTCCTGCTGCTGACAGAAAAAAAAAAAAAGCTGTTTTCTTTGTTCACTGTTTGCTTCTGGCTTTTCAGGGCAACTGGAGACGGTGGACTTGAACAAACTGAATGAGATTGAGGGTAGCCTGAACAGTGCCAAAGACCAGATGAAAGAGAACGACCTAGACCAGAAAGTGTCTTTCCTCGAGAGAGAAGCCAGGAAGCAAGATGACGCGATACAGGCCTACAACAGGGACATTGAAGAGATCCTGAAGGACATTAGCAACCTGGAAGACATCAAGAAGACCTTGCCATCTGGCTGTTTTAACACCCCGTCCATTGAGAAACCCTAAGGGTGCGCTGGGGGTGGGGGGTATTCCCCCGGTGAGCGGTGGTTTGGCTATGGAGTGCCTTAACACACATTACCTTCTTCAAATCCCCAGCTCTTTGCTGCTCACAGCCACTGTTTTCTTTTCAAATCAGGATAAGATGAAAGGTTTGGTTTTTTTATTGTTTTGGGAGGGGGGGGTTCTTTTTTTTTTTTAAGAGAAGCAAATTAAATATCCGTCTTTGGGCATCAAAGGGTTTTTTTATATAAACTGTCTTCCTGAGCACTCCGCCTTTGCCCCTCTCTCAGACACAGTTTCCCTTTGATTAGCGCAAGGATGGGAGATGCTCTGGACTCTTCATACTGTGGTTCAGAAATAACCATGTGAGCTGGATACGGCAAGGCAAAACTAACCCTACCTTCTCTCCTCTCTTCTCCCCTCAACTGTAAAATCCTTGGTCCCAGAGCTCTCTGTCCCTATGAAGGAAGGGGATGGCTACCAAAGTATTACTGTAATGGCCAGTATAGCTGCACTCATTCAGATCCCTCTTCCCAACTTCTAACCCTGTGAATTTATATATATATATATTTTTTTTTTTTTAAAAATTGTTAACTAGTGGCCAATCAACAGCATTGGTAGCCTTTGACAAAATAGCCGAAACCTCTTTCTGAAATGCTTTCTGTGATGATGCATCGCTCTGAGAGAAACGCGGCCTCCGAGAGGAGCTCTGTGGGAAGATGGGATACTGGTGGAGTGGTGGCTCTTGCCAGCCCCACTCCTGGTCAGTGGAGAAGTTTTGGGTCTGGTCTGTGAGCAGCTACCTGCTGGGTAACCCAGGCTGGGGAGCGTGGAAGCCACAAAGCTGCGTTCCCATCTGTAGGTGTGGCTGTCAAATGGCCAGAGAATCTTTGGTTTTTTGGGCAGCGAATGTCTGGTTGACAGATGAGTTTGCTCAAGTGGCAGAAGTCTTGCTGAAGGAGGAGAGCTGCCATCCAGAGGGCTCTGACAGCTGCGCTGGCCTTCAGGCTCAAAGTCTTTGGGTGGGGAAGGAAGGGAGAATGCAAGTGGAAAGGGAAAGGTCTTTCTCCCTGCCTTTTTCCTGAAAGGAGGACAGTGGCGTTTTTCTATCTCCTGCCATTGCTCTCGCCTTTTGCCTGTTCTTAAGCTGGTAGAAAGCGCTGGAGTTTACCAGTGCCCTCCTTTCTTTGTGCCTGCTATTCCTCCCGCTCATAGCGAAGTCACCACGAGCACAAGGACTTCAGGCCAGGCTCAGGTGGCATCTCTGCCTTTCTCACTGCTACTGCCACCTCCCCGGCCAGTGCCTCCCAGCTGCTCACCCTGCTGCTGGGTGGGAGCGGTGGGCAGCCCCTCGCTGCTCCCCCAGCCCTCCTCTGAGACCAGACCATCCTCTGCGCCTTCCTCCCTGCCTCCAGCCTGGTCTTGCCTTTTGCCTGTTTTTAAGCTGGTAGAAAGCGCTGGAGTTAACCAGTGCCCTCCTTTCTTTTTGCCTGCTATTCCTCCCGCTCATAGCGAAGTCACCACGAGCACAAGGACTTCAGGCCAGGCTCAGGTGGCATCTCTGCCTTTCTCACTGCTACTGCCACCTCCCCGGCCAGTGCCTCCCAGCTGCTCACCCTGCTGCTGGGTGGGAGCGGTGGGCAGCCCCTCGCTGCTCCCCCAGCCCTCCTCTGAGACCAGACCATCCTCTGCGCCTTCCTCCCTGCCTCCAGCCTGGCATCCCCCCCCTTCTCCCCCCCCCCCCATCCTTTTTGTTGTTGTTTTTTTTTTTTTTTTTATCCAGTATATATCTATCCTTAAACACTATGCAACTTTGTACGTTTGCGTAGCGGGGAAGAAATTATTATCTGACACACACTGGTGCTATTAATTATTTCAAATTTATATTTTTTGTGTGAATGTGATTATTTTTTTTCCTTTTTGTTGTTGTTTTTTTTTTTTTTTTTTTTTTTTTTAAAATCATGATTATAGTGTGAGGAAGTCTCTCGTGTGTGCGTATGTGTGTGTAAATATACTCAGCCATATTTCCAGAGTGGCACAGCCTGGCCTCCTCGACGTGCTTTCCCCTGTAGCCATCGGGGCTCGGTGTTTGTCCTCCCTGGGCTCCTGCTTTCTTCCCTCTCCTGTCTCCTCAGCACCTGCGTGGGCATCAGCAATAACCACTTTGCCCCTTGGGCAGATGCTTTCCAGCCCTCCCTCCAAAGCCAGCCCTGATGCGGGGTGTTGACAGCACCCCAATTTTGTGTCCCTTGTTCCCTGGGGACGTTGTGCCGGGAGGAGAGGAGAAGGGGGGCCATGGCTTTGCAGCTGGGCTGTGAGGAGCTGTAGTGCTGTCAGGAGGCTGGACCCGGCGTTGAGGTGGTCAGAGAGCTAAATTTGGGGACGTCTTGATACCACTGTGCGAGGCGGGAGGCTTGGTGCACCCTCGGGAGCAGCGCTGCCGGGCAGGGGGTGTCCCCAGCAAACCCCGCTTTCCCCCACGTCCCTCTTGTTCCCCTTCTCTTAGGGACCCTTACCATTTCCCTCCTGTCCCCAAACACACCTAGCACCTGGAGGAGAGCTTACCCGTGCTGGCCCACACGTGTGGGACGTTGAGGTCAGTGTCTTGGCCGGCTGCTCTGGTCAGATGGCTGGCTGTAACCGCGTCACCTCTCTGCCAAGGCTGTGAGAAGAGCAGATGCGAAGATGCCCGCGTGCCCTTGGCTGACCTCAGGCCTAAGGTTTCCTGCTTTCTTCTCTTTTTTTGTTTTTTTTTTTTTTTTTCTTCTTTTTCTTAAACTGTTTTTAACAGAATTTTATTTTTAAATAAAAAAAAATAAAAATCTTTATAAGCGATCTCTTAATCACTACTGCATTACAGCCATTATTCATTGTATAAGTCCAGTTATTTCTTTTTACGTGATGCGACGCTGCGCCAGGTGCTGGTGGAGTGCTGGGTGTCACAGACAGCGCCTGACGGTCCCTTCATCACCTTATTCCTGACTGTGGCCCCCCCCTCAGTACGTGCCTTCACTCCAGCTTTTTTGCCTTAATCTGTGGTCTTGCTGTCTGGGGCGGTGAACAAAATGCAACACTTCCAGTTTTTATGTATAAAACAGTATTTCTTATTTATAATAAAGTCTGAATATTTGTAACCCCTTATACCTCGGCTTTCTTTTGAATATTGCTTTGGGGCTAGGGGGGGAGAGAACGTGTTTATGGGGATGTGCCTGAGTTGTAAGACTTGCCTCTTGCTTAATTAATCAGATGGGCTGGATCAGGGTGGTAGAAAGGGAAAATTTGGAAATTCATGTGGTGGGCTGCAGGTGGCTGTAGTGATTTTGGTTTCTCCCCATGTCCACTGCTCCTTTACCATGGCTAAAAAAATAAAATAAAAAAAGGCAATGTTGATGGTGATGCTGTTGGAGCTGTACTGTCCTCCTGGAAGGCCCAGAAGGATTGAAGTGTTTCTTTGCAACACAAGGGTTAAGATCCTTTCTGCTTTTAGCTGAACACATAGAAAAAGATGGGGCTCCTGGCAAAAAACCCCACAAAACTCCTAAATAAAGGAGCTGAAATTTCTCTACCAGGAACTGCCATAAATATCTGGGCAATCTGCGTTGTTCCGTGGGTCCTGTCTGCCAGAGCCCAGGATAAATTTTATTCCTGAATTAATCAAGTTGTTAATGTCAGGGCAGATTACTGTAACAGACTGGGCAGCTCTGCACTCACACCCCTCTTAGGGCTGCAGACTGGATTGCTTTTATTTTTCTCAGCAGAGGAAAATGCACATGTCTCATTAACTTCCATCAGAGTTAATCCCCTCTCAACTGGTAAGTTCTTTTCGCTATTTTATTATTTTTTTTCAATTTCAATTTGTCCAGCTTTTTGTTCTTCAACTATAATTGCCACTAATGCATTTGTTTTCTAAAATTTCCCCCCTGCCTTTTTTTTTTCCTTTGTTTCTTTTTTGGCCAACGCTGCTGTTGAGCAACTCCCAGCTGGTAAAATGTGTCTGATGTTGGAGCTGGACTGTAGGTAGCACTCAAGAGAAGCAAGTGGTGGGAAGGTGTTGACCTGGGCTGGGCTGTAGTTTGACGTGGAGCCTCTTACCATTTTGGGGCTAAAATATTCAGCTGAGGAAGTGAGACTGTGCCTTTTATTTCTTCTTCAGGTCACACAGCAGCAGTGCCTCGTCCTGTGAAGCCTGGGTGAAATCCCAAGTAAAGGTGAGGCTACAGGCTTCTGTTGGTTTATGCTGGGTCTCTGAAACGCTTGTATCACACCCATCTGAAACCAGAAGGTTTTTGAGGGCAAGATGTGCCACTCTCTGCCGCAGGGAGGAGCAGACCCAAGGGAGAAGAAGAACTGCTGCTTCCAGCTCACTGAAGTGTTTTTATTGATGTTTTGAAGTCTAGGTAGAGAACATCCTAGGGGGGTTGTTCTGCTCAGTGTGGGCTGAGCTTGACCTCAAGGTGGAAGTGCTGAGCTTGACCTCAAGGTGGAAGAGAAGGGCCCATGCTGAGGAGTGACCAAGCCTCTCCTCTCATTTCCAGTGGCTTTCTCTCCTCTCATTTCCAGTGGCTTTTCTCACTGTCCGGGCCCATGCTGAGGAGTGACCAAGCCGTGCACTGGGGGCTTTTTTTTTTTCTCTCCTCTCATTTCCAGTGGCTTTTCTCACTGTCCAAATTCAAGCTCCATCACCTCTCACTTGCTCTCTGGAGAAGCAAGAGGCTGGCAGCAGGCAAGGGGAGGGGGGCTGAGGAGCAGCTGGCAATGGGAAGGACTTCCCATGGGGAGGGGTCAGTTGGGGTCTTTGCAGTTGGATAAAAATAGTTGGGGTGTTTCTGCCAGCAGAGTGGGAGAGAGCTGCCTGGGGAGGAGGGTTTGGGGTCTTCATGAGCTGTTCTGGGGAGGCTGAAGTTCAGAGGACCTGTGCTGAGGGTCTGCTGAGCCAGGTTCTCTGTGGCTTCTGGGGAGGACGAGGTGTTGTCAGGAGTTAATAAGTGCTGGGGGCAACTGCTTGGAGGAGGCAACTGTATTGTGTCCTTGTGGAGCTGAGGAAGGAGAAGAGGACATAACAGCTGTGGTGCTGAGCTGGTGGTGTCCCGCGCTCCCCATCTACAACCATGACATCTTGGACCACATTCTGGTTCGTTAGCCTGTCTGGTTAGCTGCTGGACCAGTGCCTTCTGTGTGCCCCCATCCCAGAAACATCAGAAATGCAGTGAAAAAAGAAATTCACTGAGGTCCCCAGTGAAGCCCAGCAGCCCCTACTGCAGGGCTGGAGGCAGAGGGGGAATGTGGTGGGACAGCACTGCCCTCTTCCCTCATCTCCGTCCGTCTGTCTGTCTGTCTGTCTGTCTCACCCCCTGGCTGGTACAGGCAGGGCACAGGAAAGGCAAGGCCAGACACGATGGTACTTCCTTGCTGTGCCCTGCCCTGCCCTGCTTGCTCACCCTCACCTGGGCAGGTCCCTGGTGTCCTGCTGCCTGTCTGCTCCACTGCCTGGCTCTGCCCCTTCCGGCAGATGATGTCCTCTGCTCTGGGTGGCCCTGGCTGACAGGAGGAGTTTCACCACCCCTCAGCAAGGGTTGCCCCCAGCTGTCTCTAACTGTACCTCTGGACCCACCAAAAACACCCATAAAACCAAAACGTGCCAGAAGGCGATGTATCCTGAAGGAAGCCTATGTGTTCCTGGGCAAGTAGAGGGCGGGTGTGTGTGTGTATATCTCTGTTTGTTTTTATTTATTTTTTTTTTTTTTTTTTAAAAGGACCAACTGATAATACCGCTGTGCTTTAAATCCTGAGTTATAAACCAGATTCTCTGTCTGGGCGTATCCTGAAGGAAGCCCATGTGTTCCTGGGCAAGTAGAGGGCGTGTGTGTGTGTGTGTATATATCTCTGTTGGATTTTTTCTTTTATTTATTTTTTTTTTTTTAAAGGACCAACTGATAATACCGCTGTGCTTTTGTATCCTGAAGGAAGCCTATGTGTTCCTGGGCAAGTAGAGGGCGGGTGTGTGTGTGTATATCTCTGTTTGTTTTTATTTATTTTTTTTTTTTTTTTTAAAAGGACCAACTGATAATACCGCTGTGCTTTAAATCCTGAGTTATAAACCAGATTCTCTGTCTGGGAACAGCGCTGCGTGAGGAGAAACATCTCCGCCCCAGCACAGGGAAGGCAGCAGCACGCCTTGAGAAGCCCAAAGCACCCATCTGGTGAAGGCAAGACTGAAGTCCAGGCTTTTTATCACCGCGCTGCGTGTTTGATGATATCACCGTGGCAGGACCTCTGGTTTTCCCCGCTGAGGAAGTCCTGGGTGGCTGGATAAAGGTCTGCTGCCAGGCTGGAGGAGAAACTCCTCAGCCTCAAAGAGGCGCTGAGCAGGTGCCTCAAGGACAGGGGGCAAGCAAACAGAAAATAGCTTGAGATAAGCTACTTCTCAACAAACCCCAAAGGAGAAGTGAGGCCACCCGCAGAAGCAGTCCAGGACCAGAGCTGCAGGAGGCTGTTGCAGCTCAGAAGGTCCCTTGTGGAGGGAGGCTTGGGGTGCCAGGGACAAGCTGGGCTGCAAGGACACGTACAACATCCTGGTGTCGTTTATTTGTTGTGAGCCACCAGAAGGGGTTTTATTCCTTGGTTGTGTAAATAAAACTACTGCTTTGGGGCTTTCACACACTTGCCACCGGCTAATATCAGCCAAATTCAGATTATTCCGTGGGTCCAAACTATCTTTACAGCAGCTCGTTCTGCCATGGCCATGTCCTCAAGGACTGATAAACTTGCCAGGTGCTGTGGTGGTCTCCTTGCTGTAGCAGCTTTCTTAGCTCCTTTATGAAGAATGAGTGTAGGACACCTTCAGAAGGACGCTTCTCATGTTGCAGATTAAAGGTTGTCCAGGGAAGAAATGCTGTTTCATTGCAACATCTGATGAGTGCTGCTGTTCTTCATGCCTCCCATCACTTACGCTTTTGCTCACTCTAAAAGGTAATATTACTGTTAATCATATTTATATGAGACCTTTTATAAGTGGTGCTGCTGTGGCTTGCGATGGGCAACATTTGTTCTGTGGAGGGTTGTGGCCATCAATGAGGGTGATGGGCATCAGTTTGTTCCAGACCTGGTGTGTTTAGAAAATCAGGGCCCCAGAAAATATATTTTTGGGTAGTCCCATGCATGCATTCGTGTGGTTTTCAGAGATGATCTTGGAAGTTGGTGGAGGATGACGAGGTAAGAGTAACCTAAGTAAATATGCAGAAATGACTGGAGAGAGAGCTGTGTCAGTGCATTGTTTGCGGAAGTGAGTTAATAGGTGGGGTGATAACGGTGAGATAGAAGGGATAACATGGGGTCGGTCCCTTCTCCTAAGTCACAGGCAGTAGGACAAGAGGAAATGGCCTCAAATTGCACCAGAGGAGGTTCAGATTGGATATTTGGCAAATTTTTTACACTGAAAGGGTTATTAAGCATTGGAATGGGCTACCCAGGGAAGTGGTTGAGCCACCATCCCTGGAGGTAGTTAAAAGACGGGTAGACATAGTGCTTAGTGACATGGTTTAGTGATGGGTTTTTATCAGAGTTAGGTTGATGGTAGATGATCTTAAAGGTCCCTTCCAACCTGGACAATTGTATGATTATGTGGAGGAGCCAGATAAGGGAAAAGCTTCCCGATGGTGAAAGCTTGTCTTCCAAGAGAGAAGTCAGCCAAGGATGTGGGCTGGGGGAGATCCAAGGGAACCTCTGTACTGACAGTGCTGCTGGAGACGAGTTTCTCGAGCAGAGGGGTATCAGCGGGTAGGAAGGACGAAGCAGAGGTGTTTGGGGCAAGTGACAAAGTTCAGAGCAGAAGGGATTGAGTGTGTTTTGCCAGAGGAATAAGCAGACCCTAAGAAGTGGTGGAAAAACCCTAAGTGATTTTGTCTTGCTTTTTAAAAAAAGGTAATAATAATTTAAAGAAAATAAAAATCGGATAAGACAACCTCAGGTGTCATAAATCAACATGCCACCAGTGTGTTCATGGAGCTGGGTTCTTTGTCATGAACTATGTTAAGATCCAGCCTGTGAAATTAAAAGGAAACAGCCCATTTATAGAAGAAGTTGACTCAATCAGCAGAGGCAGGTAAGCCTGGCAAAGGGAGGTGCAAAGATGTGGTGAATTTGGGCTGGCTGTGCCCATGAGATCACCAGGAGCTGCAGAGGAAAGCCCTCTGAGTCAGCTCCAGGTGCACAAACGTCTGGAGGCTGTTTGGATGGGGACATAAATGTTAATCACCCTGGGCCTGTTAGCTCTGAAACGAGCAGCACGTCAGCACCATTGTTTGTTGGGTTGTGTTTCAGTCCCTAATGTAGAAGGTGACCTGAAAGGCAACTGGTCTTGAACTGGGGGGAAATTTGATGGATGTCTTCATTTCATCTAAAGGTGTTGGTGCTCATTGGACCACTTGCAGTCATTTGTGACAGTAGGTGTCCCATAACAGTAAGCAGGGGAGGTGCATCATTATGCCAGCTCCACCAGCAACCTCAGGCAAGCCTTTTCCTCTCTGTCTCCACTCCTCATCCAGCTGTAGTGGATCAGGTTGAGGACCCATCTAACCTCCCTGTCTGTCCCGGGAGCAAAAGCAGACAAACGTGTGGGATGATGCCTGGTCTCCACCCCATTTCTAGGGCTGGGGATTTCCTGAACCTGATGTTTTGTCTTGAAAATCGATAGATCTGCTTCCTGAGTACGTGTCCAAGTTGTCCTCAGGGTCTCTTTGCATCTCCAGCAGCCCTTGGCTGTGGGTCCTGCTGGTCATCACCTCTTCAGGCTGGTTTTGAGCCTTGCTCTTGTGGGTTGGTTGGCTGGACCGGGCTTGTGGAGCAGCCAGTCCCCATCCACCCTCCCTGGGCCTCCCATGAGCTCATCCTCTTTCATTTAGCTCCTTGCAAGCCTCCTGCATGCCCGGGCAGCCCCGCTCTCCCCAGCCAGCACCCGTGCCCTGCCTGCAGTGGGGTGGGATGGAGCAGGACGGGCAGGAAGGGCTGTCTGCAGGGACCGTGGCTGGATTTGGTTCGTACCCCCTGAGCTGGCAGCCCTGGGAGGTCCCCCGGGGTGTTGTGCCCCCCATCCATGCCTCCCTCTCCGCAGGGACACGGGCGCCCGTCTGCGCTGCCTGGGCTGGGCTCTCCCTGCTGGAGGTGAGTCAGCCCACGGCACACGTGTTCTTCCTGTTGGGAGTGACTCAGGTGGAGCAGCCTCGATAAAAACCACCCCAGGAAAAAAAAAAATAATAAAATAAAAAAGCCATCCAGAGGCGCAGCCGGGTTGCAGAGCCCCCTCGTCGCTTGTGCTCCCCGGCACAGGACATGGCTGGGTGCTGGCTCCTGGCCCTCGGCTGCCTGGCCACGTCCCTCCTGCCCACAGCCCTGAGCACCAAAGGAGGAGAAGGTGAGGCCTGGGGAAGGTCGGCTGTTCCTGCTTTCCCTCTGACATGCAGTCCCGTGGGCGGCTTCACTCGCAGCCCGGCCCTGCTGCCGGGGAACGCCGGTGGCCGGGAGCCGGTTGGGTGCACCCTGCTTGGGGGCTCTCCCCTCCTGCCTTTGGGAATAGGATCGGTGCTTCTCCTTGCATTTCTTGCATCTCCTTGCATTTCTCCTTGCATTTTAGATGTGGTGTTGGGGGATATGGTGTAGGGGAGAACTTTAGAGTAGGGTAGATGGTTGGACTTGATGATCCCGAGGGTCTCTTCCAGCCTAGATGATTCTGTGATTCCTCCGTGGTTAAATACCCCATGAGCATTTAGACTTTGGTTGGGTTTGTTTCTTTTTTTTTGGGGGGGGGGAGGGGCTGGCATCCCTTTTAAATAATGTATTTATGTGCAATTGCTTTATTGCTTTCTGTATAAAGCCTGGCTCCTTGGGTGGGACTTGTGGTTGGGTTTGTTTCTTTTTTTTTGGGGGGGGGGAGGGGCTGGCATCCCTTTTAAATAATGTATTTATGTGCAATTGCTTTATTGCTTTCTGTATAAAGCCTGGCTCCTTGGGTGGGACTTGAGCACGAGCATCGCCCAGGGAGCAAGTGGCTCATCTGCCCACTGCTGCTGCTGGAACCAAAACCTTCCCTTCTGGAACCAAAACCTTCCCTTCTGGAACCAAAACCTTCCCTGGAAGCATCCAGGATCCAGTTTGCTGCAGCAACATCTGCAGTGTTTGTGTTTTGTGCGAGTCCCTGGGGCTCACGAGGTGCCCCCGGCTCCACCACGTCCCGTGGGAGGCGGTGGGTGTCCCATGGTACAGAGACTGAGGGAGAGCTTCAAAAATCCACAGGATCTTCTCTCCTGTGCACTTGCAGCAGGGAGCACAATGCAGGGGTGTTTCAGATCACTCAGCCCAGTGGTAATTCAATATCGGGGTTTCAGTCCTATGGGTGTATAGTCTAGAGATGAGTATGTTTGGCCAAAAATCAGGTTTTCATATGTTATTTTGTAAATACTGAGCGATTTCAGGTTGTTTGTTTTTTTTTTGTCTGCAGTACTGGTGTTCTGAAATACACTCGCTGGGCTTGAAGTTGGTCTTTTACCAGTTTTCCTTTAGGTGCAGTGCAATGTGAGAGGGGAAAAGAGGGCTGAATAAGTGGGTTAAAAAAAAAAAAAA